AAACTTTCATAAACTCTTTGTGACATATTAAAAATTCTGAGATGGCAAGTTAATATAGCAAATAAATTCCCTAAGACAATAATTTTACAATGGAAAATTAATATATATATTAAAAAAGCATGCCCAGTTACAGTAACTTTGCTCAGACAATTAAAGGACCCTACCAGGTAATAATTACTTAATTCTTGCAAATAACATATCCTACAACAATAATTGTAAAATAACAAATTGACACAACCAATTAACATGGCAAAATAACTTGTTTTGAAACAATAATTTTTATAATTGCAAATATAAAGGCCAAATATTGCCATTGATATGATGGTATTTAGGATAAACAGAACTATGTCGCCATGCACAATTATCAGTACCAGCTGGAAATTCTGCCACTGTATACATCACAGGCACGAGTATCGGACCTGGGAAGAAAAAAATATGACCAGATTGATAAAAAACCTGTGTTCATCTTAAAAGTGTAAAAAAAACTTAAAACATTTAAATAATGACCCCCTTTAAAAATATACTATAAGTTAACTTATAGTATATTTTTAAAGGGGGTCATTATTTACATTTTTTTTTTTTTGGGGGGGGGGGGGGGGGGGTTTTGACACTTTTAGTGAACACAGGTTTTTTTATCAATCTGGTCATATTTTTTCTTCCCAGGTCCGATACTCGTGCCTGTGGTATACATATCAATATCACTTTCAAGTGAATGGTTAACATATTGAAACAAAGCAAACAAGAAAGTCGAATGACACATATACCCCCTTTCTAGCCATTGACTCACATAATTGGTAATTTTATTACAGAAACTTGCCAAAAATGGGTACATGGAAGTGTTCAATTATGGAAAAATCAACGAAAACCATTTTGACATTTAAGGCCCCTGTGACCTTGAACTTTGACCTAGTGACCCCAAAATCAATAGGGGTCATCTACTAGTTATGACCAATCACTATGTGAAATATGAAGACTTTGTGATACATACTTTTCAAGATAATCAGCGGAAATTATTTTGACATTTAAGGCCCCTGTGACCTTGACCTTTGACCTAGTGACCCCAAAATCAATAGGGTTCATCTACTAGTGATGACCAATCACTATGTGAAATATGAAGACTTTGTGATACATACTTTTCAAGATAATCAGCGGAAACCATTTTGACATTTAAGGCCCCTGTGACCTTGACCTTTGACCTAGTGACCCCAAAATCATAAGGTGTTGTCTACTAGTGATGACCAAACTTTGTGTGAAATATGAAGACTTTGTGATACATACTTTTCAAGATAATCAGCGGAAACCATTTTGACATTTAAGGTCCCTGTGACCTTGATCTTTGAACTAGTGACTCCCAAAATCAAAAGGGGTCATCTACTAGTTATGACCAATTAGTATATGAAATATAAAGACTTTGTGAAAAAAAAACTTACAAGACAAAGAGCAGAAACCACTCTCACATTTAAGGTCCCTGTGACCTTTGACCTAGTGATCCCAAAATACTAGTTACGACCAATCAGTATGTGAAATATGAAGACTTTGTGATACATACTTTTCAAGATAATCAGCGGAAACCATTTTGACATTTAAGGTCCCTGTGACCTTGACCTTTGACCTAGTGACCCCAAAATCAATAGGGTTCATCTACTAGTGATGACCAATCACTATGTGAAATATGAAGACTTTATGATACATACTTTTCAAGATAATCAGCGGAAACCATTTTGACATTTAAGGTCCCTGTGACCTTGACCTTTGACCTAGTGACCCCAAAATCAATAGGGGTCATCTACTAGTGATGACCAATCACTATGTGAAATATGAAGACTTTGTGATAAATACTTTTCAAGATAATCAGCGGAAACCATGTGGTCTACCGACGGACAGACCGACGGACAGACGGACAGACAGACAGACCGACATTAGCAAAACAATATACCCCCTCTTCTTCGAAGGGGGGCATAAAAAAAAACAACTATAATATATCCAAATATAAATTATACTGTCACAAGGACCTTAGTTTGAAATTGGTGTGTGACACTCCACATCAAAATAGTGAACATTCATGCCATCCCTCAATGCACATCTATAGAAGATTTGCTCTGGACCAGAAATTTTTTCTCTGACCTCTCAGTGAGACCTTGACCTTTGACCTAGAGACATGTTTCATGCACTTGACACTTCATCCTATGGTGGTGAACATTTGTATCAAGTAATTATTTAATACCTCCATGCCTGTAGAAGATAGTCTCTGAACAGGCTGTCCACCTGGAGTTATTCTGTAATACTAGACATTATTCAAACAGGAACAGAAGCTATCTTTGAAACAGACATTTTTTTTCTTTGCCTTACATAACTTAAATTCACACATTAATAATACAGTAGGCTATAGAATGTAAAATCTAGAAATTTGGTTTCGAAATTCTTGGAAAAAAATTGAACACATGCAAAAGTGTCTAATCTTCATAAATAGATAGAATAAATGCATAAAATTTAAATATGGTGCAACAATTGAACAAGATAGAAACACTTAAAATATCACAAAAAAATGATAAAAATACACTAAAAAATAACAGAAGTTACCAGTAATATAAAACATATAGATAGTCTACAACATTTTCATACTAGGAACAAAAGTCATCTAGACAATAGTCATCTAGTGACAGGAAAATGCTTGCTGATAAAGGTGTGAATGAATACATTCTTGTTCCATAAGGAATAATATAGTTGTGATGAGACTAGTGGCTGCAGGTGAAACAAATAAATTGAAAACTCTTCAAACAATACCAAAGCCACTTGCAAATAAATTATTAACCAAGTTTTAAAGTTGAAAAAATGGGGGGGGGGGGGACAAAATGTAATCTAGAAGTGTTGCTATGTCACCTAGTTTTGTGTGAACTTTGTTAACCTACAATGTTACCTAATAATAACTCATGAGCTTTAAAAAATATAACAAAGTTGGTACAAGGAATGATATAAGTGACTAAGTGAGCAGTAGCCAATTAACCCATTTAATACTAGTAACATTTACTGGTCAGCCCGTAAAATTTTTTAATTCACTAGCCTTTCTTGCCTGTGAAAACTTAAGCAGCAGTTAACTTTTCAAATAGAATAACTCATTTATCCTAGTTTCAGTTAAATAAGATTACAAAGTAACTGTTTTAATTATGTTTTTTGTTAAAAAAAAATTTAAGTTTCACATTTTATGGGATGTAAAAGTTAAAAACCTATTTTGGGTTGGCAGATAAATGTAATCACTTGGCTGGGTGGGTTCTAGTATCCAGACCCTCTCAGTACAGATGCACTTTTCATAATTGAACATTTTCAAGCAATCAAGCTTAATACATGTAGATATATATCACTTAATTGTTAAGACTCATCATAATTAATCTTTATTTTTTTTCCCCTCATCTTACCAAAATCAATATATTCAATAGATAAAATATTCTCAATATTTTGCCAAATGACAAATACTCAATGTCATAATTTGAAAATAACAAAATTAATCAGTATTCAAGTTTCAACAAAAAAAGTCACTTAAAACCATGCTAAAATAAGTGTGATAAGTTTAAAGGTAAAACAGAACACTATAATCTACATGTACAATCATACTGTTATTTTCATGCTAGTAGCTTAACATATTATATGACAAAATAAAAATAATCTCAACTTGTAATTTAACTATAGTCAATGAGATTACAAAATGTACTCAGCATTTTTTCTAAAGAAAACTTCAAAATTTGAAATACTCAAGAACAAGAATTTTTCTAAAGAAACTGTCAAAAGTTTAACTTGTTAATGGAAAAGTCATTAATTAGCATTCTTTTAATGAATAGCCTCTTTTTTTTAATGGAACTCCCCATAAATTAGCATTTTTTAAATGGAAAACCCCATAATTTAGTTTTTTTGGGAGCGGGTGGGTTTGATGGAAAGGACCCTTCCAAATAACATTTATTCATGAGCCTTTTTTGGGGTAGGGGTGGGGTTGATGGAAAGGACCCTTCCAAAGAGCATTTGAGCCGCGTCATGATAAAACCAACATAATGGCTTATTTATTCTTTTGAGCACTATGTTAAATCCCTCAGACCACAGACACAATGTACCAAAAATAAAGAATTCTGATTGGAAACATTTAGAAATTTCTCTAACTAATGTTTAACTGTATTATAAGAGTATTTATTGTTTATTTGTATGCAGAATCTTAGCTTTCTAATAAAATGCACTTAAACTGATTTTATCATTAGCTATTTCTATGATTGAATTGCATATCTTGTAGGCAATTAAAGGGTTCCTGTTTCTTACTCCAATAATATCCTGTTTCTATACAATTTATAAAATGATTAACAAGTACAAACCTTTGAGGTTTGTTTTTTTTTCTTTCTGCTAAATTCTAGCTTTAGTAAATTTGCAAACAAATTTTCAGGATATTTTAAATAGTAGATTTCTTTGTGTTTAGATAAAGTACCCCATTTGAGAAACTTTTTCCATTACATACATGTATTTACAATGTTCATAGAAATATGTTATACCAGTATTTAATTGATATTTAATTGATATTTTCTGTAAAAATTATCAACTTCTCAACATCGATCAATTGATTCAATGTTAAAGGTCATCGGGCATCAGATATAGTGGCTTTTATCCTAGTCATAACGGGAAAGTGCATGCTATATCCTGGACAAATCACTTGTAAATCTCTAATATTCCTACCAAATTATCAAGTCAGGGTTGGCATAATACTGATGGACAAGACATTCTTTCTAGACAATTGTAACACTAAATTTAGATGGAAAATAACTACTATCTCAACATAGTATATAGTATATTATTATCTTGTTCAAACAAATGTAACGGACATTTTGATATATAAATGCTCAGTACAGATTTTGTAACCTCTATAAATATTATGCTTGTCCATGCTGAAATGAGAAAAACAAATAATAATAAAATATCTGTGTTCTAAACGGTAACCATGCGTTTCTGGTTCTATAATTATTACTTACACCTCCATCATGAGCCGGCTGGCCTGGTGGCTGAAAATTACCCAACATTAATTATACAAAAATAAAAACACATATAGTTTGACATAAATATTTAACTTTTGAGATCTTTTTATAATAATTGAGAATTCAAGAAGACATCTGCACTATGTAGGATGTTTGGGAAATATTCATATAAACAATACTTGGGATGTTTAAACAGGATGTAAGTCTTTACAACTCTTTCTATGAAATTCAGAGAAGTTATTATACATCAGGATATTATACACCTGTCAATTGTCCACAATCACTGGGTATGTTATTTTGTTCTGTCACACTGCACAGTCCTCTGTCTGTCCCCCACACTGTTGAGTCATCTGTCTGTCCCAACATTGTAATCATCTGTTTGTCCCCATGTTGTAATCATCTATCTGTCCCAAATACTGTTGAGTCATCTGTCTGTCCCCACATTGTAATCATCTGTCTGTCCCCATGTTGTAATCATCTGGCTGTCCCCCCATATTATTGAGTCATCTGTCTGTCCCCACATTGTAATCATCTGTCTGTCCCCATGTTGAAATCATCTGTCTGTCCCAAATACTGTTGAGTCATCTGTCTGTCCCCACATTGTAATCATCTGTCTGTCCCCATGTTGTAATCATCTGTCTGTCCCAAATACTGTTGAGTCATCTGTCTGTCCCCATATAGTAATCACCTGTCTGTTCCCATGTTGTAATCATCTGTCTGTCCCCCATATTATTGAGTTATCTGTCTGTCCTCACATTGTAATCATCTGTCTGTTCCACTCACTACAGAGTCATATCCGTCTCCCCCCCCCCCACTGTAGTCATCTGCCTGTCCCACACACTGTAGTCACCTGTCTGTCCCACAAACTTAAGAGTAATCAGTCTGTCCCCACACTGCAGTCATCTGCCTGTCTCCATAATGCAGTCATCTGTCTGTCCTCAAAACTGTCATCTGTCTGTCCCCCACTGTAGAGTCATCTGTTAGTCCCCAACACTGTAGTCATCTGTCTGTCCCCCACACTGTAGAGTCATCTGTCTGTCCCCCACACTGTAGTCTTCTGTCTGTCCCCCACACTGTAGAGTCATCTGTCTGTCCCCCACACTGTAGGGTCATCTGTCTGTCCCCCACAATGTAGTCATCTGTCTGTCCCCCACACTGTAGTCATCTGTCTGTCCCCAAAACTGTCATATGTCTGTCCCCCACTGTATAGTCATCTGTTAGTCCCAAACACTGTAGTCATCTGTCTGTCCCCCACACTGTAGAGTCATCTGTCTGTCCCCCACACTGTAGTCATCTGTCTGTCCCCTACACTGTAGAGTCATCTGTCTGTCCCCCACACTGTAGAGTCATCTGTCTGTCCCCACACTGTAGAGTCATCTGTCTGCCCCCGCACTGTAGAGTCATCTGTTAGTCCCCAACACTGTAGTCATCTGTCTGTCCCCCACATTGTAGAGTCATCTGTCTGTCCTCAACACTGTAGAGTCATCTGTCTGTCCCCCACACTGTACTGTCTGTCCCTTACACTGTAGAGTCATCTGTCTGCCCCCAACACTGTAGAGTCATCTGTATGTCCCCAACACTGTAGAGTCATCTGCCTGACCCCAACAGTGTACAGTCATCTGTCTGTCCTCAACACTGTAGTTATTTGTCCGTCCCCAACACTGTAGAGTCATCTGTCTGTCCCCCACAATGCAGAGATATCTGTCAGTCTTCACAATTTGATTAGCCAGAAATCAAAGTCTCCCAGGTGCTATTCCCCGGAAATGGGGAATCAAGGGGGTGGTATAGGGTAACGACTGACTACTGCTTAAGTTTAAAGGAAATTCTTGTGTGATTTAACTGTCATTATCAAGCCATGTTGAGTAATTTAATGCAGAATAATTCATAATACGGCAAATGAATCTTATGCTACTTGGTAACTTTGTACAGTTATACACAATATTAAGTCTATTGTATTATTATCTTATATATTAGATATACAAATAACAATACAGCACTGTCCTCTTAATCATCACATAGAAGATACAACTGTATTGTATAATATTAGTAAAACTATAACTTACATGACACTTGCATCAATTGTTTGCAGGGACAACACTTTGTAAATATCTTCACATATACATTTTGTACACTTTGAACTAACAATATAATTATGAAACTTTCTCCAGTCCAGCTCATTTTTTGTTTTACATTTCAAGCCAGCTCTGAACTTTGACTTTTATCACAAAGCCGTATTTCTTTCTTGATTTTGGTCATCTTTATTTCTGATACACTTCTGAAGATCCTAAAGTTCTATGGTCAGTGTTCTAAAACATTTACAAAAAAAAAGAGCTACCAACTCCCAATTGAATACAAAATGACCTGCGTGAACTAAGGTGATATATGGTATAAAATGATCAAAATTCTCTTGATTCTTCACTACTTGTGTGAAGATGGGGTGTTTTATTTCATTTACCTTATTTTGGTCTCGCCAATACAGTATATATCCTTTCTGATCCACCCTCAGTGTCACTGGTACACCAATTGTTGAACTCTGAAATATAACGTAACTAGTTATCAGTAATATTTCAACTATTTGGAAACTATCAATTCTGTTACAGGATGAAGTTGACAGGTTCAAGTTACAGACTCTATTATAATAAAATGTGCACCATCTCTAACAACTAATAATGGAATATGTGCCTACAGTCCATTACTAAACTTAAGACAGGGCAACTATTATCAATTGCCGCACAACACTTAAAATAACCAAACATATTTCAATTTTCTATTTCAAAAATAATTATACATAAATACATAACTTGTTTTGCTTATAATCATTTTTGTTAAGTTTATGGTTTAAAAGACAAGAAAAAGTGATTATTTACTTAAAAATACACAATCATTTATCTAGTTTAAAGATTAAATGTCATTAAGTTTCCCTGGTTTGTTAGATTACACAAGAGACTATCATAGCCAGTCAATTAGTCTCATTTGTATGGTCATCATCAACTCTTTGTGTTCTACCTTTAATCAGTATCACCACACTATAGTCAGTGTGAGGTTTTTAATAAAATTACTACATCTAACATGCATTTTTAAAGATATTTTTTAAGATGAATACAATTACAATGTAAATAAAATCAGGTCTTTAAATAAACTCAAACTTAAGAAAAATATATTTTAAGTTTAATAAATATCACCAGTCCAGTTAAAATTTTGATTGTAATTTGTATTACGTAAAACATGGCAAAATGTACTTTAGATCTTCATCACAAAAATTCTACTGTTAAGAAAAGTTCTGCACATTTAGGATATTTGGTAACTTTGGCTAAGTCAAATCATATAATTTTGTACAGTTAAACTGACAATATTTTTAGAATAATTTTAAGTTTTCATAAAATTTAACACAAATCTGGAGGTGGGCAGCCTTAATTGTAAAATTAAACTGTAAAGTAGCATTCCATTAATGGCTGCCACTTTGACTTAATAAATGAACACTATCAACATAACACTTTTTTATTTAAATAAACTTTTATAAAAAACAACTTATTTTTGAATTCCTCTTGCTTTTTTTATTTCATCAAAATGACAACCCTCTATTTCAGACGCAAGCCAACATGTAGAACTTCTGCCTTCTGTTACCTAGCAGCTTCATATGTAGATAACTTCAACACATGTGACAGGAAAATAAAAACACCAAACAAAACCCTGCCTTTTTCAAAGAATAAGAGCTTTAAATCAATTTGAAAACTCCCTCACCCTTAAAGCATACATTTATGATCATTATGGTATAAAGTCACGCTTATGGCAAGTTTATTCAATGCCATAGTCATATAAAATAGACAGTTTGTGTATGAAGTTTCTGATTTACAATGTAATCACATACATACATATACATACATACTTATACAGCACTTGTAACATCTGCAGTAGATGCTACAGGCTACAAACTTACTGACCACTAATTTACAAACATTTATCTGATTTTCATTGTTCTTGCTACCCACAACTAACATTTTATCTACTAATATACATTGACTTTAATGAGTGTTCATATTTTGCAAGCAGAATGATATATGAAGATGAGTAACAATATTTAAATCTGGAAAACGAGAGCAGTAAAAAGGTGAAAATAGCAGGCTAAGTTCTAAGTCAGGGTTCTCACTAGGACTTTAAAACATGGAGTCCATGGACTCGCAAGCCTGAAAAAGTTGGAGTCCAAAAGCGCGTCGCAAGTAATATGCTTACAGATTAGTCATTTAATGCTCACAATAGCATCTGAATCTTCAAGAAACGTTTATAGTTAATCAAAACAAACTCTGAACTACATAGTATAATTATTGTTTTGTTGTTAATATTTATTATGAAACAATAAAATTATAATGCATCAACACATGGAAATTGTGTTGTTTTTTTTCACTTTTATACCAAATCATTTTATACTGGTAAAATAAGTCCACTCTAAAGACCAAAAGTTTATATTTGTAAAAAAAAACAAACGTAAATGTATATAGGCAGCGTTTAGCGGAATGAATAGGAAAATCGTGAACAGCTTCACATAGTGTGTAAGAGATTCATCTGATCGACAATTATTTTAGCAAATATCTTCAAAAGGGGGCAAGTTGAAGATCGATATTTAAAGATTTAATGTTGATTAAATATAACAAAGAAACAATTCATTCACATGTTTGGCTTGGTAACTGAGAATTGTTGAGCTCTTTGCGAAATTTTAGGGTTTCTGGCGAATGTAAAATCGCCGATGTTAGGAATCGAATCTAAATATTAAAGAAAAGCGTATGTTTATTTTGGTTTGTTGTCCTGGCATTTTGGCACAATATCTTAAATTCATTAATACTCTTATAGAACGTTTTTGCAAAAATGAAAACTAAAGCAATATTTTGTCTAGAAAATGCCAAAAACATTCGACAATAATTCATAATTACACTCATTTGTTATTTGAGAAAACAGTCTTTAAACTTGCGGCGTAAATAGTCAATAGTTAATCCTTTTGTCGGTAAAATTTGCTAATTTCCAATCAACTGTTGATCAAAGATAAAAAATTATCACCTCGTGTTATATCTGGTAATTACATGTATGTTGCGCGTTTTATACATTAGTCTGATCTCTATTGCGTGATAATGATCGAAAGCGTTATCGCTGATTGGCTAATCGCTTGACTGGTCGATGTGCATAGGACCGCCTACCTATAGACTGACACGCGCTGACGTATTTGTGTATTTCTGGTTTTAAACAATCTGTAATGTTTATGCGTCCCCAGGCAAAATTAAGCGTACGTGGAATCCTTGCTCTGAAATATTTGCGTCCAGCTGTAATAAACATGCGTACCGGGACACCGAAATAAGCCTCCCCGAGAACCCTGCTAAGTTAGTTTATACAAATTTATTTTAATCCCTTCCTGGAACCAACCAGTTCTAAGCAATGAATGTAAAGTTTCTTGCTCAAGGAAACAACCGCTTGGCCCTGACAGGGTTTGAATTCACGCTGTCAGCAATCCTTAGATTACTAGTCCGACATGTTAACCACTCGGCTACGCCCCCACTAAGTTCTAAGTTAGATTGAGTCCTTTACAATGTACATACAATAATCATTAATACAGATTGTAGTTATCTTATTTCATTATGTAAGTCATCTTGAATAAGACTTACTCTGGAATAAAAAATTTTTGGGTTTTCCCAGCTAATCCAGGGGTACAAACAAACTTTTACAGTTACAGCTTCGAAAATAGGCATAAAAGGTTGTGGATCGTGAAGTTAAAACTGTAAAAGTTTGTTTGTACCAGGAGATTAGCTTGGAAAAACCAACATTTGCCGAGTTCCGGATTACATCTATAATACCAATTTATTTTTAAATAGTTTGATTCTGCTGGACGTTATAAGCTTATTGAACCACTCTCAAATCAAATCCTGGAACCAACCAGTACTAAGCAATAAGTGTAAAGTTCAGAAAAAAAAAACTAGTCTGTTATTTAGGAGAAGAACCTAGCTGTTCTGTGTGAAATTTTCAGATCTCTAGCTTTAAAATTATGAAATCTGTATGGAGAAACGTTCAAAAAATGTCTTAGGGCTCGAATTTAACACTCGCAAACTCGCATAATGCTAGACCTTGAAAAATGATTTTGCGAGTTAGATTTATGACTACTGGCAATTTTTTGCAAGTTGAAGAAAAAACGGAATACGCTCGTCAGGAAAATCCGAAATATAAATGGGACGTAACATTCGCAGGTAGCCGAGTTATAAACTATGCGCGCACTTGCTGTCTGGTTTACATTTTCTATACCTTAACCTCGCTTAAAAAAGTACACAAATTTAAACCAGTCCAAATGTCATTTTGTCCGTGTAAATCAAGCGTGATCGGAATAAAATGTCTTAACGAAAAATAACGAACTTCTTCCCACTTACTGAAGCAGATGTGTCTTTCGATAACAATACTCCGAGTACAGAAGATGATTCACAGTCTATCAAAAGAAAGACAATCAGACCTTCAGTTAAAACGGTTAAAAAATGGGAGAAAGAACTGCATGTCAGTCTTACATACGAACTCGATGACAATGGAAATATTGCCAAAATATTTTGCGCCGATTGTTGTGCGCATAATCCAGACCAGACATCGTCGTTATGGCGAGAAAATTGCATTATTATTTTTTTACATATAGATTGACATTTGATAAGAATCCTAAATCAAGTTTTTGAGTAGGATGTAATGTTGCTGATTCGTACCCCGGGCAGTTCGAACTAGTGCTAGTTGAATTCAGTTTTTGCTAGTTAAAAATTTGTCCACTAGCAAAAAATTGCTAGTGGCCAAAAAAGTTAAATTCGAGCTCTGTGTCTGGTTGGTGGTGGGTCCCGACCAGTAAAGTGTATAATAAAGTATAAGAAATGAATGTTATTGCGGCCTTTTTTATTAAGCCATATTGAGTATTAAAATATATTTTATATTGTTCATTTACACACAGCAGACAGGTGTCATAAGCAGGGTAAGACAGTTGTTATATTATACATAAACCCATAATTACCCTCATATTTGACAGCTGTTGGAAAGATTTATTTTTCTCATTTCTTTGCTAAAATTACTTATGACTGCTTGTATAAATAACTTAATGTAACAATATTAATTAAAAATAATAGCATGAACATTTAGATATATACAGTCTGTAATGCAAAATTCAATATTTTCATAACACTGAAATAAAATGATAACAATCATGCATGATTGCGTTTCAGTGACCCTGATGAAAAAGATGTTCAACTGGGAAAAGTCCAGAAATGTTCACAAAATGAAAGATACTTACGTCGTCCCATTTTATAAATTTATTCCCTTTCACAAGAATTTCGGGAACACTAATGGGTTTCAACTGAACAACATGAACGGCTGGTTTTGCACCCGCCATTTTAATAACATAACATCATAAATGTCTAAATCCGAATAGACTGTCCTAATTTCCTATGCAAGGTCGAGTTTACTACGACAAAGGGTTTTTTTCTATTCGATTTTTGTCTGAATAATATCAAGAATAAAAGAGCGTTAAGCTTAAATAAAATGAGTTTTAAAATATACACAATGATTTAAAAAAGTATAAACCCTTTAAAGCAATAATAGATTTTTCGGGTTTTCAAATACGAATTGAACTTTTCATAAAATTCCCCCCTCTGTCATAATAAAAATGTTTCCCCGGTTTTAAAAAGACTGATCATGTGACTTGATTTAAAATGGGCGGGAAAAGGTTTTATTTTAGTGGGGGTGTCATTGGATATTTGGAAAATGACAAATAAAATGTACAGATTCTTTCCCAATTTTTTAAAAATTCCAAATACGACCTAAAGTCTTTCAGCTAGTAGATAGAAGATAAATGATTGCTCTGTTTAAAGTGCTTTACAGTCAAATTGTGCAGTGACTGAAGAGCTTAGAATCAACCATTAAGCTTTACTCCTGAATGAATTCAGGGTATAAATTTTCAATAACATAAGTGCATGATGAATTCATTATTGACCTTACACTATTTCATTTGTTTTCATATTTAGGTGACCCTCTGCTATTAAAAATTGTTTTTATCACCAGACAGTTTACATAGCTAACAGATCTAACAGACATATTAATAATAAATGGTATACAGAACGGATCTAGTGTCTCTGGTATACTAAATGGTTCCATTATGAGGAACGTGACCACTTTAAAAACCAAAATTTCGACACTTTTTATGCCAGTTGTTAATACTGAAACTGCAGAATTTAGTAAAAAAAATACCACCAGTCCACTCTCTTTCAAGCAAAGACAATCACAATATAAAACATCTCCCATTTAGAGCGGGTACATGTAAATATTTGCAAAAAAAAAAACATGTCAACTTTTTGTATTGTCTGGGACATAAGATAAGATAAGTTATCTTATGTCCCAGGTATTGTTCGGAGATATAGCTAGGCAGTTGTCATCGACAGAATTGCCGTGTATTATTCTTTAAACAACATTTCATTTTTACGATTCCAATTTTCTGACTTAATTGTTTTAGTGAAGGGGAAACAACTAAAAATATAATTTAATTATTTGTTTACAGAACATATCGGAGTTGTTCTTTATGTTTATTCGTCAAAAATATGTTTATTCACCTAACAGTGTAGCAATACCACGTGACCTGAACGTCATTTTCGGCATTAAAAGTTGCAATTACATCAACCGAAAGTACGGAAGGCAGAATCCTACTTAAATAATTATGTTTATTTTGCAATTATGCATGGCGTAAATCTGAACTTTTTCTTCAATTGACAATTATGGCACCAGTTCCAAGCCAAATATTTGGACTACAGTTTAAAGCAGTTTTCAGAATTGGTTACAAATTCGAAGAAAGATGAATTCCGTTCTCTGTCTATAATAACGACTATTCTTATAGAAAAGTCTGTTATTTGGGAAACAAATTATGCTTTGCCATTGTAATAACGCAGACAGCGTCGTTACGTAATGTTTTTTTAACGATGGCGTCAAATGGTAAAACAATGAAACAAATGGGGGATGGACTCTCTCACTAATGTTCTTAAACATACTGTTGCAAAAAATATATAGTTTGTTCCATTTGCTTCTTTTAATTGTGCGTCATTTGTTTGTTTTCCTAGGAATGCCCTAACAGAGTTATGTTTGCCCGGTATCCCAACCATTTGGCTTTTAAGGACGTTTCCGGGAGTTTTCATATGGGATACCGGGCATACATAACTCTGTTAGGGCATTCCTAGGAAAACAAACAAATGACGCACAATTAAAAAAAGCAAATGGAACAAACTATAAATTTTTGCAACAGTATGTTTAAGAACATTAGTGAGAGAGTCCATCCCCCATTTGTTTCATTGTTTTACCATTTGACGCCATATCGTTAAAAAACATTACGTAACGACGCAGCCTGCGTTATTACAATGGCAAGGAATAATTTGTTTCACAAATAACATACTTTTCTATAAGAATAGTCGTTATTATAGACAGAGAACGGAATTCATCTTTCTTCGCATTTGTAACCAATTCTGAAAACTGCTTTTAACTGTAGTCCAAATATTTGGCTTGGAACTGCTGCCATAATTTTCAATTGAAGAAAAGGTTCAGATTTACGCCATAAATAATTGCAAAATAAACATATGAATTTAAGTAGGATTCTGCCTTCCGTACTCTCGGTTGATGTAATCACAGCGTAGATCAGATAATACAAGAAAACGAAATAGCTTGTAACTGAAGTCCGCTCGTATACAAGCAACTTTCAAGGTTATACAAAGTGTTTGATAAAACGGCTTATATATGCTGAAGGAAAAACACTTTTCTTTGTCAAGCTTATGTATTTCTTCTAAAAATGTTGCATATCTGAAAGAAATTGGTTTAGAAATAAAATGCTTATTGTTATTTTCCTTTTCGAATCGAGCAATATTTGTTTTGGAAATGATGCCGAAAATGACGTTCAGGTCACGTGGTATTGCTACACTGCCTAATAAACTAATGCAACTGGTCATAAATTTTATCTACTTGTTTTAAATAACAATTAAAAAACATTAGAAACATCAGTTGATTGCTAATCTGCAGTATATATCATTTTTACGTACAATATCTTGAATCAATATATCACTAAAAAATATAATTTGCAGACGGAAAAATCTATGAACATTCGTTTTTCAAATTCAAAAGTCTCTAGTCTGGAAACTATTAATAAATAACTGTAACTATCTAAGTACTGCTCTAACAATTATCAACCCCAACGCTTCCAGGGATTAAACCCCTCTTTACCAACGAGTTTGCTGTGGGTTTTTTTCTGAATCTTCCCTTTTCATACACGCAGTCTCTTGCAGGGTCAGAGTCTTTTATAACATATAATAATATTTAATTATTATAGCTCTGTGGCAGGGTGTATGTTTCTACACATTGTTCAAGTGTATAGCCCAGCAAACATTACATATCTATATAGGACCGATGTCGACCCGATATCATCTGCAATGTCGACCCGATATCGACATCCGATGTCTGCTCGATGTCGGATGTGCAACCCGGCTCAAAGTCGGGCCGATATCGGGTTAGTGTCCCTTGTTGTTTTCTCGTCCACGGTAAGTATCTTCCCCATTGCCTCTAGTTTTTATTTCTTTGATTAACCCCCCCCCCCATCCCCGGTCTCCTGTCCCCTTCCCCTTTGTGGGCATATTATTCTTTTCTTTGAATTCCTAATCAGTTACAAATTATTTATCATTTAATGATTAACCTGTCCGTGCTCTGTCTTTGCCCTGTCCTGTTTTTGTTTGGGGTCCGCCTGGGCTCCTTGCCACTGGTTCTTGTTGCTGGGTCATATGGGGGTTGCGTTCATTGAACGCCGCCTTTCCTTGTTGATCTTGTTTATCATATTTTAGTATCGTATACTGACTAGAACCATAATATAATCATTCAAATTGAGTATAATAACTCGTGAATAATATTTTGACACACATTTGCAGTTTTAAATCTCTCTAATGGTATTCGTTAAATATCTGGAAAAAGTAACCCCTTGGAAGCATTAAAAACAGAAAAATTGCAGACTCGGGTGAACTGAGTCTGTCCGTGATGGATAATTATACAGTGCATCATCCTTCACGCCTGAGCGGTACTCAATTCTCAAAACTTGAAATGGCTGGATTCAATGATCCCGAAGGACTAGAAAAATATAACAACACTGAGGTGAAGTACGTTAATTAAGCCCACCAATCAAATCATCATAAAATAGATGAATACAGAATCCCTAAAGAAAGCCCAACACGGCAAAATTGAAAATGTTGCAGGCTCGGTTTGATTGAGCCTGTTCATGGACGGTACTGGAAAGTGCAAGTTACCGTCCACGCCCCCTAGCACCGGCTTAAGCAGAATTCAACATTTAAACGTGAAATAGTAAAATTTTGAATTTAGAAACATCCGCAGATGTGTTCATACGGCGGTTATCATGGAACCTTCAATGTGACACTTCCGTGCCATTCCATGAAAAGCGGCGTATGATCCCCAAGTAATAAAAAGCGTGTGCCCTAAACGAGAAAACAATGGGCGGAACTAAATAAAATGGAATTTTGAAAGGGGATCGGAGGTTATGAAGCCTGCGTATCACAGATAAGACGTCAAAAGACAAATTTAAAAAGCAGGCAACATATCCTAAGGGTGATTCAACATTATTCAAGTAGGAATATTGGAACCACCCAACTAGAAAATGCCGAAAACTTAAAACTAAAAATACCAAAAGCACAACAATAATGTCGTGCTGAACGATCCCATTTGGAAATGTCTGTAACGATTTGAACACTGAATCACGGATTTATATTACAATAAAATGTAATATAAATCCGTGACTGAATGAAGTCGGGATAAGGGTCTTCGATGTGTATTTTTATGTTGTAGCCACTTCGGCGTGACACTTTTATTGTAGCCTCTTCCACTGGACTGTCGCCATCGAACGCCTAAATTACAGCTAATATTTTTCTCTTAAATATGTTCTCTTTTATACCTTGCCTCTTGTTTCTTCCCTTTATTAGACTCTCTGTCTCTGTTTCTATTCAGTATTTTCTGAAGTTTAGTTTAAAGTTCTGCTTGTTTTCTTTTTTTACTTGATTTTTTTGTCCCCAAGTCGTTCTGCTTCACGTTTAAGCTTCTCTTAGTTTTCCTTTAATATAAGTTCAAATTTCTGTTTTAGTTACTTGCGAAATTTATTGGCATTAGAATGTTGTACATACCGTTTTGTTTTCTTATCAGATTTTGAGCCTGGATCGTCAGAAATTTTGAAAATGGAAGCATCATCAGATACATCAATATGTTTTACAACTTCACTGAAGTATACTTACTTACTTACTGGCGTTCACTCTACACGATTACGCCAGTATCCGCGATGAAGGTTGTGGTCCGCCGCAGGTCCTCAACGTCTCCGTACAGCTTCTGCTGGAGTGTTGCACCTCGGGACCACGTTGCTCCTCGCTCCTGGTCGTGTCTTTTGCATCTTTGGAGGATATGCTCTGTAGTCTGGTCCTCTTCTCCACAGGGACATATGGGGGACGGCACCAGTTTGTACTTCATGCACATGTGTGCATTCAGTCTGTTGTGTCCCGAGCGAAGCCTGACCATCACCACTTGTTCTGGTCGGTTAAGCATGTGGTAGGCATCCGCTTCCTGTCTTGTCTTGGTGAGAGCCTTGATGATGGTGGCTTTCTCCTTGTATGTCACCTGGTTATCTGGTTGCTCCAACAGGGCTCCTAACCTAGCCAGCTTGTCGGCCTCCTCATTTCCGGGCACTCCACAGTGAGATGGTATCCACTGAAGTGCAACATTACAGGACGAACCAAGCTTGTTCACGGCTTGCGCTAGTTCAGGGACATTGTTGTTTTGTAGGGCCTCCAGAACTGATCTTGCATCTGTGAGGAAGACTACAGAGGTGATCTCTTCTGGCGAGTTTTCTATCAAAAAGACTGCCTTCATGAGTGCCTCAGTCTCTGCTCTGTAATTGCTGCAGTGCTTCCCAGTGGCGATGTAATGGGCTGTTTTCTGGCCTGACGGGTACGTTATGTGAATACCACCGCCTCCATCCTTAACGGCTCTAGTGGCTGACCCATCTGTGTATACATGGGTCCATGTGTCCGAAGGATAGTCTGTGTAGATAGCCGCAAGAACTTCTACGGATGGTCTCATTTTCCTGTTTGCCCATGTCTAGTCCAGGAATAGCAAGTGCCACTTTGACTGCAGACAGGTCATTTGCTGTAAGGTTTGTGATGTCTGCTCGGCCCAAGGGAATTGTCTGAGTGTTTAGTTCAGCTGCATGCTCTCTACTCAGCTTCTTTGCTTGATGTACAAAGCTGCAGCGATTGAGGCGGTTCTTGGTGAATCCCTCAAGTCTGCTGTTCATGGGGTGGTCTGGGAGGGACTGGTACTTGTTTGCCTGGAGAAGGACCTTGGTTTGTCTTCTTTCGTGAAGTGTTTGAATTCCGGTCAGTTTCTCCATGAAGGCGATTGGTGTAGACTTGGTGGCCCCTGTGATGATACGAAGTGCCTGGTTCTGTACTTTATCCAGGGCTTGCTGGTTTGTCTTGGCTGTTGTGGACCATGTGGCTGAGCTGTACTCCATGGTGGGTCTTACTGTGCCCTGATATACAGTCTTCAGTATTTGCTCATTTGCACCCCAGGTTGGCCCAGCAAGTTTTCGCATCATCCCAAGTTTCCTTCGTGCCGTCCCTTCTACACGGCTGATGTGTGCTTTCCAAGTCTGCCGCTTGTCAAAGGTGACCCCAAGGTATGTGGCTTCGTCTTCCTCCTTCAGTGGAGTTCCAGCCAACATGACCTTCCCAGCTCTCTGCTTTGTTGACAAGGTGAACAGTGTGGTGGACGACTTCTCTTTGTTGATCGTGACACACCAGTCTTCGGCCCATGCTGCGAGTTTGTCCATAGCTCTTTGCATTCTGTATGTGGCCGTAGAGGCGTGTTCTTCTTTGCACCATAGCACCAGGTCGTCAGCATAAAGAGCAGCATGAATTCCCTTAGGCAGTTCAGACATCAGGTCGTTGATAAAGACCAGAAAGAGTGTCGGGGATATGACTCCACCCTGTGGGACGCCATGGCGTAGCAGGAACTTCCTACTGTTGGATTGGTTCAGGCTGACTCTGGCTCTTCTATTAAACAGATAAGAGTTGATCCATTTCAGCATGGCCCCTCCAACTCCATTCCTCATGAGCTTTACTTGTAGCCCTTCTGTCCAGACTTTGTCGAACGCTCTTTGTAGGTCAATCCATGCTGTAAGGACCACCTTTTGCTCTTGGAATGCGTCTTCGACTTCCTGCGCTAGGTATGTAGTCTGGTCTTCTGTGGAACGGAATTGCCGGAAACCAGCCTGTTCAGATGCCAGCAGGTCATTGGTCTCCAGGTACCACTTCAGGCGTGCGTTCACAATCCTCTCCATGGTCTTAACAACACAGCTGGTGAGGCTGATTGGACGGTAGCTGGCTGCCTTTTTTGGGTCCTTCCCTTTCTTCAGTATAGGGATCATCGTTGCCTCTCTCCAAATCTGTGGTAGCTGCCCTTGTTTCCAGCTGTAGTTGTATATGTCCAGGAGTTTGCACATTGCTGTATTGCCCAAGTGTGTCAGCATCTCATTTGTGATTCCGTCAGGACCGGGTGATTTTTTGGTCTTTAGTTGCCTGAAAGCTGCCTGAACCTCATGAAGCGTCAGGCGCGAGTCCATGCACTCTGACGTAACCTTAGGTGTTTTCCTGTCCCTTTGTTCTCTTCTTGCTTCCTTAGTCGTTCACTGTTGATGGGGATGTCGCTGACATCTTTGTAGTTTTGGGCAAAGACGTTTGCTGCTTGTTTGCCCACCAACAGCTCTCCCTCCTCTTCCAAGGTAACTGAGCCTCTCGCTTTGTCTTGGTCGTCGTTCAGCTGTTTTGTCAACCTCCACAACTTTCGGCCATCTCTCTCGAGGTTCAATGAAGCTGTCTTGTGTCTCCAGCTCTTTCTTTGGGCCTCTAGCTTGTGCCTTAGGAATTTGGCCTTGGCATGCTGTAAGTTGTGGTTTGCCTCCTGTGAGGGATTGTTTTCGGCTTCAACTCTGGCTTCGGACACCTTGGTTTGCAGCTCCTCTAACTGCTCACTCCAGTAGGGCTTGTAGTCTTTCCTCGAACCTCTAGGGATGGACTGCTGTGCTGACTTGAGGATGCATTGGTTGAAGTCCCTGACTATGTTGTTAATGTCTCTGCCTTCAACTCTGATGTCTTTGCAGAGTTCATCACTCACAGACTGGAAAAGGGGCCAATCAGCCTTTTTGTAGTTCCATCTGGGTAGGCTAGATGACATAGAGACAGAGCGGTCCAGTATGATGAGGACTGGACGGTGATCACTGCCTCCAAGTTGATCAGTGACTTTCCTCTGGACATGTCCGTGTATGTCGTCAGTACAGAAGGCAAGGTCAGGCGTTGATGTCGAGTGCAATTTTCTCGAGTAAAAAGTTGGGGGATCCTCCGGCTGATTGATGAGGTTCAGCCTGTTGTCATCCTGCCAGGTCTCCACTTCCTCTCCTCGGTTGTCCATGTGGTCATATCCCCAGCTTTGTGAGTGACTGTTGAAGTCTCCAACAACCATGAGGTTTGTTGCTTCCATTGGGATACTGTCTAGGGAAAGAGCTTTGTCATTTGGAGAGTACATATTCACAAGAATCATTTGAAAGTCGTTCAATCTGAGGCTCAGCACTTGGAATTCCGAGTCATCCATATGCATTTTAGTCTGGATAGCATTGATGTTGTTCCTGACTAATGTCATGATGCCTCCTTTCTTTCTGCCAACCCTGTCGCTTCGGAAGCACTGGTATCCTCTGATATTAAAGGATTTAGCTGGTTGCAGGTGTGTTTCCTGAATGCAACAGACATTGATGTCATTCTCATGAAGGAAGTGCTGAAGTTCAGTCTTTTTGTTGAAGACTCCTTCTGCGTTCCAATGCATCACTTTGAAGTGTTGCTGTTGGACTTTCCTCCTCCTTGGCTTGTTGTAGCCCTTTGGTCTCCTCTTGGCATGATGGAAGGAGTGACCCCCAGTAGCTTTGGGTGGACTCTGTCGAGGCTCAGAGCCCGGCACTGTATCTCCCTGGAGGGATTCCAAAGATCCAGCACCACATCGATGAATACCATTGTTTCGTGTAGTCATAGCGTTGGTTACGTGATGCAGTGGTTTGTTAGAGAGTGCCAATGGCCCAGCATCTCCGATTTCAACTCTCTAGGTTGGTTAGGGTTACCTCACCCAAAGCCCTTGCCGACCCAACGACTGACCACAAGGCAGTGGTGATTTTGAAAGGGTTGTCTCCCTTGGTTTGGTATAAGAGTTGTCCTTCTCCACCGTTCCCATCTAACTCGGGCTGTTGTGCTCAGAGACCATTGCTGGATTGCCGTTACACCGGTTATGATGGTGCTCGTCCTTTCCAGCTACTGTCACCCAGGTTGTGACAGGCCATTTGTTAATCCACGAGGCTGTGGAGCTATTTTGACCCATAGCTGGGTTCTAGGTTAGCAGGCTTCAGGGCATATACACACACCGGTGGGCCATGCAAGCCATGCCTTTAGGGGCCTAGATCCTCCAAGACCGAGTGGTTTAGCCTGGGGTCACAAGGTGCCCAGTTTCCGTTTGCCACCTCGGGGAGGTCCCATAAATGGGCCACAGCGGTCTTACTGCATGAGAGGCTATAACTGGCAGGGAAGGCTTACAAGTGGCTCCCCGGTTCCCACTAGGTGGTAGCCAGCGGTGAGGCTGTAAGCTGTAAGCGAAAAATACGAAGCTTCTCACTACAACAACACGCAGTTGCGCATCAAAGCAGTCATTACGGCAAACCACTGAAGTATATAAAATGTTATTATGATTTTCATTAATAGAATTATCAACTGGTAGCTGTAAAGAGTCGTCCAAACAATAAATCAAAGATGTATTTTTGCCGATCCAGAAAATCGTTCAGCACGACATACTGCAATTGATTTGTTTGCGGTATTTTATTTTGGTTCCTTCTATTTTATCTTTATACTTGAATATTGTGAATTCATTTCTAAATGAGTTATGCGCCTTAAAGTGACATTATACATTGAAGTGTAAATGGAGAGTTGACTGGAAAAAGTTGTAATAACTTTACATGTTGTCATCATTATTTACACTTCATTTATTTTCATAAAAATATTCAATAGCCCACGTGACCCATAGAAATTTCTATAGTCTTAAAAAATAATCGGTATCATCTACTTCTCAGGCACAGGACATCTACAGAAGATTTGCGGCTTAGCGTGTGGACTACGCTTAACTAAATTTCTCGTACTCGGGGCATCTACATCGTCTACGACAAGAGACCCAGCTGCCGATGTCCTAACCTAAATCGAGGGAGTGGTCCTACAAAGTAGGCAATGACGACAAGAAAAGTGTTCTAGGGTGCGTGAGGCCCTAACACAGAGAGTGACGGCTTGAAAGACGAGCCTTTTGCTGGCATGTTTTTTATATCTTGTAATGTTTTGTAAAACTTGTGGTTTATCTGAGGAAGAAATTGTAGCGGTATTTATGTATATTAGTAAGTAGCTTCAAATTGTCATATTGTTTTATGAATAATGACATATTCAGGGTGCTCACTAGCCATGAAATCCTGAGAAAGTGATACTCTGGCAAATTAATGACAAAAATATTAATATTATCTTTTGAACTGAAATCACGCTTAAATGACATTTTTTAAAATGAATAAGCATGGATTTCTGTGTTAAATTCTATATATTTTGGGTTTGAAGCGTTAATATATCTATATATGTTGAACGAAATTTAGAAGCGGACAGAATCACCAAGTAGTTTTTAAACAAGTTTTGTGAACAGGCAAAATTTTCATTTCTTCGTTTTGAGTTTTTCATTCATTTTTCTGTAAATGTAATCAAAATGAATACACTAGGCAGTCACAGGAACAAATCTTTTCTCATTATATTTAAGGTATTAAAGGATGGCATTTTTGTCAATGATACCTCTTGTAAATTTGCCACTCTTGTTCTTTTGTTTTTCAAATTTAAATCTTGAATTTTCATTTATCAGATATGTTTAAGTAACTTATCTTTCTATCTTTACCATTTTTTATTTTTCACTAAGAAATGTTTTTATTTATCTCTCAAGCATGTTTTAATTTTATAATTTTTCGCAATTTTCCATACTTTGCATATTAAACGATCATTGTATTTTATATAAATTTATTGTAACTTCGTTAACAATTACTGAGATCTTCGAATATTTTGTTTATTGTTGAAGTAAATTAAATTGTCGTAGGACAATGGATAAAGTTCTGTTTTTGTCTACTCAAAACGCTTAACTAAATATATAAATTCGGAAATAAATATTATAATTTTAGTTATTCATAACTTGTTCTATAAGTAATATTTTATTCATGATTTATATAGGTTTTAAATATTCAAATCAAATAATCAGTGTCTATTTAATGCTATGTAAAAGTTCAATTTATATAAGTAAATTTAACCTGCAAAGCGAGTTATTGTTAAATTCCTCATATTATGTATTTGTTTATTTAAATACATGTATTGCAATTACTGAATAATTGTTATAATAATTAACAATGAATTATGATATAAATAGATATTCCATCTTGACTATCACAGAATAAAGTACTTTTGTTTTTTTAAATTTAAATCTTGGATTTTCATTTATCAGTCGTCCAGCATATCTCCAGCAAACGTACACCCGTATAACAACAGTGCTTGATCGTTTTAACTAAGATACATTAATATCACTAGTATACTTCATTTATATGCATTGATATTGTGACACATATGGAAATAAGGATCCTGACTCCTCTGAGAAATAAAGTGATTGAAATATGATACACAAGATCAACAAGGAAAGGCGGCGTTCAATGAACGCAACCCCCACACAACCCAGCAACAAGAACCAGTGGCAAGGAGCCCAAGCGGACCCCAAACAGAGCACGGACAGGTTAATCACCAAAACGATAAATAATTTGTAACTGATAAAGAACTTAAAGAAAACGAATAAATGATTGAATAAAGGAAATAATTTGTAACTGATAAGGAATTCAAAGAAAACAAATAAATGATTGAATAATAGGCCCACAAAGTCAAAGGGCACAGAAGAAAGGGGGGGGGGGGTAAATTAAAGAAATAAAAACTAGGGGCAAAGGGGAAGATACTTACCGTAGACGAGAAAACAACAAGGGACACAAGCAAAAGTGTCACCAAAACATTATGAAACAAGAAAGACATACATCTGAGGAACACAGAGCGGTGCCGCCTTGGAACGGTCAGCAGCACAAGTACTGCTGGGGAGTTGAAACCGGTTAATGGTGCACCAAACCTCCGTTTGGTTGCTGTATGCTGTGTCAATGAGTCTTACAGTTTCATGAGAGTACCAAAGATGGGCCAACGTTTTATGCTAATAGTCATAACATTTATCAATATGATCAACATATGAATGAAAAACAAAGATCTTGTATTATCTTAAGAGATAAGGAATAGATCTTTAATTTCCCAGACTGATTTCCAGACTCCAGAAAATAATGTCATATAAGTATAAAAAGAAAAGCACGATCATTAACAAATAAAGGCCTAAATTGTTAACATAATCAAACACTTCTGCAGAAAATCTCTTGGGTGATGCCACTCTTATATGGTCCTTTGATACGTAAGCAATGTACTTCAGAGGATTATACTGATTTAGGTCGTGTCACCTGCAATAATTTCTTCGAATGTAAAATTGCCCAACAACAAGAAAAAGCATCATCGCATATGGCCCCTTGCATCAAAAAGTCACACACAGAAAAACATCTCTCGACTACCTCATTACTTTGGCCGATGCACTTTAGTTGTTACCTGTGACGAGGCAATATATGCTATTGTATGAAGTACAATATACATGTATAAAAATTGATAATTGAAATTCCTTGAAACCTTTTTAGACATTGGTCAAAATACTAAAATATCGTATGCTTAGTGGTATGAAATACTTATTTATTAAATCCTTAAATGTTGGTATAAATATTTAATGCATGTTGGATGACAACTTTTTTTCAACAAATTAAGCTCTAGTATGCTTTTTCTACCATTAAAAAGTAAAACATAATATTAACATATTTTACTTTACTTTTAGGAATCACGTATAAAAATCCCAGCCGGTATGAAAAGGTTCTTAGACTAGGTGAGTTTCATTTTGCTGAGGGGCTTTCGTATATTTCATGAATAGAAGTGGCATAGAACTATTAAAATATGGTTCGTCGTCATTCCTTAATTTATGAAACCATGCTCTGTCTCCCATTGTCTTTGGGAACTATTGTGAAGCAAGTATAAATACTTTACATTTTGACAGTAAATTTAGAACACATTGACAAATCCTTGAAGGTGAAAATAATTTTGTTCAAGAAAAAATTAACATTGTAAAATCCGATCTTGCAATGCCCGAATACTGTGATCAGTTTAGCGCTACTGGCCAATATTGGTTTATGTATATAACTTTGGTTCATATCTCACGAAAGTATATATTTGCCGAGAGATCAAGCAACTGGAAAGAACATTTGACAGGTGAAATGTATGCCCCCTTATTTGATGTCTGCCAGTCACACCAAATACACCAGTTGTGTCTCTTTATATCTTAGAGACATGTATGAGCTTCCAAACACGCATCCTGATGTATATGGGTTTTAGACGAACCATTTTACTGCCTATCTTGTTCCAGGGAAATTCAATGGAGTATGGTCTGATCTTGCATCAGAGCAAAGATATAACAGGAAATGCAAAATGTCATTGTTAAAAAGAATTTCTCGAACGCCTTATTCAAGAGAAAAATACATTAGGACTGTACCTCTCTTAACAAAAGTATCAGAATCAGTCAAATCAATGGCTCATTACGACTTGCCAACAGCAAGACACCATGGACAAAACCAGTTTAGCATGTAAAGAACATGTTTGTACGCAATATTTTTGAACATTTAGAAACTAGTGTGTCAACAAATAAATTTTGTTGGAGGTCGTTATAACTTTTGTCAGTCAAAGAGTCCAAGACTAATAAAAGAGAAAACAGACCAGGTGGACATCAAGCTAAAGAATACATACAACATGATGATGCTGAAATTACTCATTGGAATGCACTTACAATGGTTGTTGGAAAAACAAAGC